TGACATTTTTTAATTCCTTTTTTGTGTATATTTTCTTTTTTTTCTCATTGAGTTTATTGGTACTTTTTAGGTAAACAGTACAGTTACATTCATCAATGGGATCCTGTACCTTTACATGACAGGTCTTGGTTCTCATTTTTCCCCATACCCCTGTCCTCCCTTCACCCACTCCTCCCTTCCCTATTTACAAAAACTTTGTTTACATTTTTTGTTTTCTCAGATTTTTTCTTTTTCCTTATTTCCTTTTTCCTACCCTTCCCACTTCCCCTACACCTTTAGCCTTTTTTTTCCTATGTGTATTTTTTATGTGGTTACCACGAGGCTTATATCAAACAACTCATAAAATTCTATTTTAAGCTAACAATTTAATTCTAATTCTGCAAAAAATATGCTCTTATTTCCTCCTTCCACACATTTTGTGCATTTATGTCACAATTTAAATGACTTTTTATATTGTGCATACATTATTTTATTTTTATAATTACAATTATTTTAATGCTGTTATAATTTTATACTAGAATTAAAGAGATTTATCTAACTCCATTAGGGTATAGCAGTATTATCTATTTGCCATCATATTTATCTTTACCATTGAGTTTTGTTCATTAAAGCACATGAGGTATGTGCTTTTGTATTGCTGTTAGCATGTTTGTTTGAACTAGAAAATTTCTTTAGCAATTACATCCAGTGGTCATGAATTCTTTCTGTTTTTGTTTATCTGAAAAAATGTTTATATTGTCCTCATTTTTGAAGGAGTTTATTTAGATACAGTATCCTTGCTTGACAGGAGTTTCTTTTTGTTGTGCTTTCCTTTCTTCAGCACTTAGAAAATACCCTCTGGCTTACAATATTTCTACTGAGAAATCCTCTAGTAGTCTTATATGGGATCATTTTATGCAACGTGGTTCCTCTTTTACTGCTTTTAAAAGTCTCTTTGTCTTTGGCTATTGACAATTTGATTATAATATATTTTGATGTGAGTATCTTATTTATTCATCCTATTTGGGATCAGTTGGCTTTCTATATCTAAACATCTACTTCCTTCCTCAGATTTATGAAGTTTTCAGCCATTATTTCTTTGATTAAACTTCCTCCTTTTTTCCTTTCTCTGTCTGGGATGCCAGTGATGTGCATAATGGTACACTTGATGGAATTCCATAAGTCGCTTAAACTTTCTTCATTTTCAGTTTAGCTTCTTTGGATAATTTCCAATAGTCTTCAAGTTCACTGTTCTTTTCTTTCTGTTTGATTTCTTAGGTCAGTAATCATGTTCTTCTGATGAATAAATATGTTCTCTTTATTGAAATTCTTCCATGCATTAGTCTCCTGGTCTGACTAAACATATTTATGGTGGTTATTTTGGAATTCTCTATCAGGCAAACCATCTATCAACATTTCATTATTGTGAGTTTCTAGCAATTTAAATTTTGCCTCTTGGGAGGAATACTGTATTCATTGTTTATTCATTTTTCCTAAACTCTTTATTTATTTATTTTTATTTATTTATTTTTTTGCATCTACAAATTTAACAAAACACCTATCACTGCCAGTCTTTACAAATTAGCTTTGTACAGAAGATTCTCATAAATCAGCCTGGCAAGAGATTGTGAGGGCCTTTCAAATTCTAGTAGCTCCCCTGCAACACCGTTTTTCTCAGCTGCTTTAAATAGCTAGAATGTGCTCTCATGCCCTAATGGAGGAGCGATAAAAGCCAGTACTTTGGGTTGCCCCTGGAAGAGTTGGAACATTGAGCACAGAATCCAGCTCTTTTTTTTTTTTATCAAGGATAACCTAAAATCTATTGCCTAAAACAATAAAATTTGACTCTTTTGTCAACTGATAACACCAATATTAATATTATAAATAATATAGTTCCTCAAAAACATTAATATTATTATATTATCAGAGGAAATCCAATGTAACCCATCTATCTACTCCCTGTATTACCAGGAACATTAAAATTACCACTTGCCATAATCTCAGTATTTTAAAGAGGGATTCTAAAGTGTTAAAAAAAAATAAGCAAGTCCAGATAGTCTCAGTATATTTCATGCTTTCAAGGGAAAAAATTAGATATTGAGAAAATTTAGAAGTTCTTTTAGGCCACAATATTTTTGTTTACATCCAAATGGGACACACTAAACAACTTGTTTCTAGTTCTCCAGAAGTCTGACAAATTTATATTTTAGGTAAATTGTGATTGTTTTTCATTTGTAAAAGTGGGGGAAATACATATTCCGGAAAAATATAAATGCCTAAACTTTCAATGCTCCTTTGCAGGTTTAAGTTACTATTTAATAGGACTGCAGAAATGTGAGGAGTCCTCCACGCTAATGAAGAAAAACTACATATTATCTCTAGAGGATTACAATTAACACTGAAACCTAAGTCTAAAAATAATTTAGGGCTGATTAAAGACTCACTAGATGTTCAGAATTGAAGATGTACTCACAAGGCAGTTCAAGTAGCTAACATTTTCTGCAGCTAACATTTTCTGGCCCATATCCCACTGTGATAATCTTGACTGCTAACTTGATTGGCTTGAGAGATTGGTAAAGCACCCTACTGGGTGTGTCTGAGTAGGTCACAGGAACATGACCTTGGGGACCACACCTTTTCCCTAGCCCCTTCTTCTCTGACATTCTTCCCGTATGCTCTGATTCCTTGCCACCATGAAGTGAGCAGCTTTATTCCACCTTGCCATTCCACCATGATGTCTCTGTCTTGGAGCCAGACAACCATAAATTGAAAACTCTAAAAGTTTAAGTAAAAATAAACGGCTCCTTTTAAAAGTTTCAAGTGTCAATTATTTTGTCCCAGTAAAGGGAGATCTGATCAATATAACCACAGAATTTCAAATAGAAAATATTTACAGAGAAGAACAGTAACTTTGAACTCACCAGAACTCAGAGTAGCAAAAAATTCCAAGCCCACATAACTTAGAAAGCCACCATTCAATGGTAAAAAGAACAGTCCTCTTAGACTGTGTCTCCCCATCCACAAATTGACATAATTATACTTTCTCAGATTTTCCCTGAAACCAGTTTTTGAGTGGAGGGAAGGAATTAGAAGTGGGTGACTGATCTCCTGGCTGGTCTAGGAATTTTCACAAGAAGCCTACTGCAGCCTTATTCCTCAAGAAGTGTCAGAAATGTCAGTTGGGTTGGAACTCTGTGGTCAATCGGAGGTAAAGTGTGGAGGCACGTATTACAGCGACAAGCATGCAGAACTTGGTGGGTGCTCTTTGTATCAACCACTGGGGTCATCATGCTGAGACTGGATAGTGAAATCGTGCACGGAGAACATGACCCATAGGTCCCAGTACCCTTCTCATCAGATATGTTTTACTAGTTAGCTGGGTATCCCTTACCCAGTCAAACTGACACGTAAGATTAATCATTATAGATACTAAAGTGATGTGTTATCATAATAAACGTTTTGGAAAATATCTGCACCCTACTAATGCCTTTTGATGCACTTAACTTTGATGTATACTTTTCTTGGTGCATGAGTGTTCCACTTTATTTGTATCTTCACTAGTACTTTATTTTATTTTGGATTAACACATAACTGTGTGTGTTTAGGGCTACAGTGTGGTGTTTTGATACCTGTACCTATTGAGCTATGATCAAATTAGGGTAATTAACATATCATAACCTAAAACACATCATTTCTTTGCAATGATAACATTTAAAATACTTCAATCTACCTTGGAAAATGCACTATTGTTAACTATAGTCCTACTATGCAAAAGAACACTGGATCTTATTATCCTTATCTAACTAGCTTTGCACTGTTTTCCTACTGCTCTTCATTCTTTCCTCTCTGCCTCTCTTCAGCTTCTGGTAAAAAAAAAAAAAAAAAAAA